ACATACAAAACATATATCATTTTTTAAAATGCTATAAACTTAGTATTAAAATTTTTGAAATTTAGGATTTAGTAAGTCATCTAAAAATATAAACCTGTCCCTAAAATAATTCTATTTTAGAAAAGAGGGGTAAAAGAATGAACTGCTTCTTGCCAGTACTTGCATGGATCCTAAACATTCCCCAGATAAACTATATGGGTGCGTCTAGGCTGGCAAGATTTTGCGCAAAAGTGGCCGCTTGTGCGCAAAAAGTTGCCAGCTGTCTACACTGGCCGCTTGAATTTACACAAGAGCACTGACGTTCTAATGTAAGAATTCATTGCTTCTTGCGCAAATACTTTGACGCTCCCGCTCAGGGATAAGCCCTCTTGTGCAAGAATACTTGCGCAAGAGGGCCAGTGTAGACAGGCATCTTAATTTTTTGCACACAAAAGCCCGATAGCTAAAATGGCCATCAGAGCTTTCTCGCGCAAAAGCGTGTCTATACTGGGCACGGATGCTTTTGCGCAAAAGCATCTGTGTCAATCTAGATGCTCTTTTGCAGAAATACTTTTAAGAGAAAAACTTTTCCGTTAAAAGTATTTCCGCAAAATCATGATAGTCTAGACGCAGCCTATAAGTTGGAGTAAATGCATTTTACTCTTCTTTCCAGTAGCATTAAATTAATATTTGCAAGGAGACCATGACTATTTCTGGTTGAGTCATAGATTTCTTTAGCATCTTAAAGCTGAGATCCATGTGGATATTATTAATTTTGGTATGTTAACTAGCTTGAATTGCTAGCAAAGATGGTAAAATGTAATCCAAGGGTTGTTTTTCCTTTTAATTGATTTCATATTAAATAAACATCATAAGCATGGCTCCTAGTTAATTATCCCTTGTTTAAATATATTGCACACCTATGGACTGTTTAAAATATATATTTATATCTAGGGGTTTTGTTTCACTAGTGGGTCCACATCCACACACTGCCTCCATATTGGAGTTGCACATAAGAAATTTCAACCCACCCAAAAGAAAATTCAACCTGCCCAAGGATTGAAAATGTTAGCGGGAATACTGTTCCCCACCCCTGAGTTATAACATGGGTTGCATGGACAAGTACCTCTATGGTGGGATGGGGTCGGAGACTTGTGAACTACACACTAGGGCTGTGTCTATATTGGCATGATTTTGCGCAAAAGCATGCTGCCTGTCTACACTGGCGGGGAGTTCTTGCACAAGAACACTGATGTTCTAATGTGAGATAACAGTGCTTCTTGCACAAGAACTATGATGCTCCCACTCAGGAAAAAGCCCTCTTGCGCAACTGTTCTTGTGCAAGAGGCCAGTGTAGACAGGCAACATGAATTTCTTGTGCAAGAAAGCCCAATGACTAAAATGGCCATCGGAGCTTTCTTGCGCAAGAGAGCGTCTACACTGGCACGGATGCTTTTGCGCAAAAGCACATGCCCGTGTAGACGCTCTCTTGTGCAAGTACTTTAACGCAAAAATCTCTTGCGTTAAAAGTATTTGCGCAAAATCTTGCCAATGTTGACATAGCCTAGGTCCTATGCCACAGCATCCCCACCATTTTTAGTGAGCAAACTAGAGAATAGCTAGTGTGGATTAGGTACATGTACACAAGTTGTCATTTGAACCCTCATCTGCTGTGTAGACATAACCATAAGAGAGTGTATGTTGCAAGTCAAAGAGAAGACTTTTGCATTTTACTTCTAGTGGTAGTGAGGTCAGTGGTAATTCTTAACTCTTGCAGGAGGAGCAAGTTCCATAGTGTAGGTCCAGCTCCATTGAAAATTCTTTTACGACCACAAACCTCCTCTATCTTTTGGCAGTTTCATGATTCCATGCTCATGGGGAGAGAGAGAGGCAATACCTGACAAGTAGGACTAAGCCCATGCAGGACTTTGACTTTCAGGACAGAAACCCTAAATTAGACTATGAATTTGGTTGGAAGCAAAATACTAGGATGGTGTGTTCATGGCCACCTCCTTTGCTAGGCAGGTTGGCTATTATGTTCTGTGCTCACTGAAGATTTTGGGGGATGAGTTGCTTCATTCCTAGACATAAATTTATTGGTATAATCAAACCAGGAGGGTTGAAAATGAGACAGGATCTGAGTCACACAGAAAAGAGAACCATCTCCTAGCCCAGGCATGTCCAAAGTCCGGCCCGCGGGCCAATTGCGGCCCGTGTTCCGGTTTAATACGGCCCCCCCAGGTAATTTGGCAATATCTATCTTTTATGGCCCCCAACGAATCCATATGTATTGAGATGAATACATTGTAAAATCTCAGTTAATGTCAGTTGGTCTAAATCAGTTATAAATATATTTGGACACAACATGTATACTTGGTGTTATGTTCCTGTTCATATTTTTTGAACTTAAAAGTTGACAGACAACCTTTATTACCAATAATATGTAATGTACTTTACAATGTTCCTGACATATATTTCAGCTTCCTGGATTTTTTTTTCATCTGGCCTTCAGATATGAAAGGCAGAGTGATTTAACACCTGTTTAGATTTGTCATCCATGTGACGAAATGAAAAGTATGCCGTTTGCAATAAACTTTGCATAAAATAGTTAATTTGCATTTAATTTTAATGGTTCAAAGAATGTCAGGCAAAATGGTCGGCCCTCACGCATGTTCACTTCATCAAATCTGGCCCTCTTTGAAAAAAGTTTGGACACCCCTGTCCTAGCCACTAGCAGATGAAATTGGGTGGGGTTTTTTTGTTTTTATTTGTTTATTGTTTTGTTTTTTTGCTGCCCTGGAATGCACAAACATCTCTTTGCACTTAAATAATAAAATAATATACTACTACTCCTAATTTCAATTTTTATACCTCTTTTCAGATAAGGATCTCAAAACACTTCATAAACGTTAATTAATCCTAGTAACTTCCCTCTAAAGAAAGCAGACTGACTTATAAATACGGGTACATTCTTTCTGTTCATATGACATCCACTCAACCATACTGTAATTCGTAATCTTATTGTTCTCATATTCTCTGGCAGTAATCACTTATCCTGGTGCCTATGCTCTCTGCTGTTTTTGACCCTAAGGAACCTTTTCTTCTTGACAACCCTCTTTGGCCCTCACCGGAAACTACCCCTCCCTGTACTTAAATAGCTATTTTCTTTTCCGTAGGCTTAAGATCAGCATCTGTTATCCATTTGGTTTTTTTTATTTTCTTCCTAAATCTTAAATTGTATCTTAAATAATCTTTAAGAAAAAAAAAAAAGCTCTATCAAAAATCTCTAGGCAGTCTATTAAAATTTTATTTAATTTTAGCATAGATTCATGTAATCCTAGGACTGGAAGAGACCTCAGGAGGTCATCGAGTCCAGCCCCCTGTCCAAGGCAGGACCAATCCCAAGTAAATCATCCCAGCCAGGGCTTTGTCAAGCCAAGACTTAAAAACCTCTAGGGAAGGAGATTCCACCACCTCCCTAGGTAACCCATCCCAGTGCTTTACCACTCTCCTAGTGAAATAGTTTTTCCTAATATCCAACCTAGACCTCCCCCACTGTAACTTGAGACCATTGTTCCTTTTTCTGCCATACGTCACTACTGAGAACAGCCTTTCTCCATCCTCTTTGGAACCTCCCTTCAGGAAGTTGAAGGATGCTATCAAATCCTCCCTCACTCTTCTTTTCTGCGGACTAAATAAGCACAGATCCCTCAGTCTCTCCTCATAGGTCATGTGCTCAGCCCCCTAATCATTTTGGTTGCCCTCCACTGTACCCTCTCCAATGCGTCCACATCCTTTCTATAGTGCAGGGGTCCAGAATTGGACACAATATTCCAGATGGGGCCTCACCAGAGCTGAATAAAGGAGAAGAGGAAGTTACTCACCCTGTGCAGTAACGATGGTTCTTCGAGATGCGTGTCCCGTGGGTGCTCCACTATAGGTGTCAGGCTTGTCCCGGCACCACAGATCGGAGAATTTTCGTAGCCGTAGTCCGCTGGACCGCACATGCGTGAAGCGCGGCTCGTGCTCTTTCGCGCTGTTTGTGTTCGCACGGTCCGGCTCCCACCAGTTCCTCCTGATCCTCTTGGTCTGAAAGACAAATAGAAATTCCGAAGAGGGGAGGAGGGCGGGTCATGGAGCACCCACGGGACATGCATCTCGAAGAACCATCGTTACTGCACAGGGTGAGTAACTTCCTCTTCTTCTTCGAGCAGCGTCCCGTAGGTGCTCCACTATAGGTGAATTTGCAGCAGTAGCGCCTAAAAGGAGGGGGGTTCAGAGCTATCGTGCTGCAGCTGTGGACAGCACCGCTGTTGCCACTGCTCCTTCTGGAAGGTGGAGGTTGGGAATGGCATAGTGCTTGGCAAAGGTGAAATTTGACGACCATGTAGCAGCCCTACAAATGTCTTTTAGAAGTACGCCCTTCAAGAATGCAGTTGATGTAGCAACTGCACGCGTGGAATGCGCTGTCGGATTCTGTAGCAGCGGTCTACTACGTAGGGTATAGCATTCCTTTATGCAGTTCACTATGATTGACGAAATGCGATGTGCTGTCAACTGTTGACCCTTAGAACGATCGGCTGTAGACATGAACAGATTGTTTGTCTTCCTGATGGACCTGGTTCTGTCTATGTAGAAAGCCAGGGCACATCTGGCATCCAAAGTGTGTAGCCGAGCTTGTTCTGCCGAGATGTGGGGCTTTGGGTAGAAAGTGGGAAGCACTATCGGCTCATTGATGTGAAATTTTGAATTTACTTTCGGAAGGAAAGTGGGTTGAGGACGTAAAATGACTCCTTGATCAGTAAACAGAGTGTATGGGGGTAAGACCGATAAGGCAGCCAGCTCACCAACCCGTCTTGCAGAGGTTATAGCCGTGAGAAAGATAACTTTCATTGTGAGAGTGCGCAAGTCACATGTGGCCAAGGGCTCAAAGGGTTTTTGAGTTAACGTATTAAGAACGAGCTCTAGGTCCCATGGTTGTGCTGGTTGTGTTCGATGTGGAAAGAGATTATGTAAGCCTTTCATGAAACGTCGCATCGTCGGGTGAGAGAAAACTGAGTAACCATCCACAGTGTGGTGTAACGCAGTGATTGTGGCGACGTGCACTCTAATAGAGGCGCAGCTGAGAGAAGAGCTCTTGAGGTGCACGAGGTAGTCCAGAATACGAGCTCTTGAGGTGCATGAGGTAGTCCAGGATACGGTGGATGGGTGCGGAGTAGGGATCCAGGGATGCCGACGCACACCATGCGGAAAACCGTGTCCATTTGTGAAGGTAGGTGGATCTCGTGGATAATTTTCTGCTATGTAAAAGAATGTGTTTGACCTCTTGCGAGCAGATCATTTCTGTTTGTTGGAACCAACTAGGAACCATGCCGTCAGTGCCAGAAGATCGATCTGGGGATGGAACAGGCGCTGCCTGTTCTGGACAAGGAGGTCGCGCCTCTTGGGCAGAGGGAATGGACACCGCGCTGACATATGATGGAGGGAAGGAAACCATGTTTGTCTTGGCCAAAAAGGAGCTATCAGGATTACAGTGGCTTTTTCCATCAGTATCTTTTCTAGTATTCTGGGGATTAGAGCGACGAGGAGTCCTGTGGCACCTTATAGACTAACTGAAGTGTAGGAGTATAAGCTTTCGTGGGCAAAGACCCACTTCGTCAGATGCAAGCCTTACATTGACTCTATGAGGCTTGTTTCTAAAAAGTTGTGATTGTTGCAGAAGTGTGTGTGCGTGAAATATTTATAACTCACCTTATGATTATTGAGATAGCCATAAAGAATTCAATTGACTTGCCTGATGTCAACTAAAAGTTGGGGGCTTCACGGTTCCCCAGCTCTTTGGCCTAACCCAAAGCTTTTTAATTAAAGATTGGGTGGTGGTAGAGTGGTGAATGGAATGGTATGCCCTAGTGTGATTGTTTGTAGTACCCATCTGTCGGTGGTGATGTGAGACCATTGGTGTTCGAAAGGTCTCAGGCGGTGGTGGAATAATGCCTGTGGAAGTTTGGGATGGGTGTTCAGCAGAATGGTGCACAGTCCCTCGGCTGGGATGTCAAACTTGTTGCTTGGCATTTAGACGGCCAGATGTTTTTGGCTGAGGTCTTCTCTTCTGCTGTCGCTGCCGGTTGTGTTGCTGGTCCTGCTGTCTGTATTGGGATGGCTGAAAGGTGAATGATCTCTGTCTCTGATATGGAGTATACCTTTTCCGATGGAAGGGAGGAGTATACATGCCCAGAGTCTTGAGTGTGGTTCTAGAGTCTTTACCCGAATGAAGCACCTGATCAGTTTTGTCAGAACAGAGATTCTGTCTGTCAAAGGGTAGGTCTTGGACTTTGGTCAGAAGGTCTTTAGGAACTGCCGCCTGGTGTAGCAACGAAGCCCTGCGCATGACCACGGATGTAGCTGTGGTACGCGCTGCGGTATCAGCCATGTCCAGAGCTATGTGAAGAGCTGTTCTGGAAGCTGTATAGCCCTCGTGGACCACCACTTTAAGGACCTCCCTTTTGCCCTCAGGTAGATGGTCCAGTAGGGGCGCTAGTTTGGCATAGTTATCAAAGCTATGGTTAGCTAATAGCGC